GGCTGTTTCTCAAAACAGGGATTTGGCACTTTACACATCTTTATACAAAATTTGGATGCTGCTAAAATGGTCCAAATATATGAGAAAGCTTTATTACCATCTGCCCAAAGATGGCTTACGAGGAAAAATGAAAATTGGCTACTGCAAGAGGACAATGATCCGAAACATCGGAGTAGACTTTGTACTGCGTGGAAACAAGAAAATGACGTTGACGTACTGGATTGGCCTTCACAGTCGCCAGATGCAAATCCAATTGAAAATGTTTGGGCGCTTATAAAGTTTAAGCTCCGAGGAAAGAAAATATGGACCGTCAAGCAGTTAATTCGACAGATTCGATTTATATGGAGATCTTTGTCTGAAGATTATGCTGTAAAATTAGTAGAAAGTATGCCTCGGAGATGCCAGTCAATTATTGATAATGGAGGCGACTGGACAACTTATTAATAATAAAGCATCGCAGTCTATATCATGCATAATGTGTACAAATTTTTTCAATTTATGTATTATCCTAAGTTTTTGAGTTTTGCCGTACACGCTCTTATCAAACATACTATAAAATTATGTTCGTGTTCTGTTGACACGATATTATTTTAAAGATTTAATGGGTTGCAGTACGTTACTTTCGAAATGGAGAACTTTTGCGCACTGATCGACCCTCACGAGGAAGCGATTATTCAACGAAAATACATCGATAAGTATACCAGCTTTTACGGTTTTTGCATAGCTTCATTCTACCTAACTCCTCTCGTTATCATCATGGGACCTATTATGTTGGACCAGCCACTTCCAGTACTTGCCGAATTTCAGTTTGACGTATCTCGTCAACCACTGACAAGGGGAACCCGGCAGTCTCTGTTCACCGATTTGAATAAAATTTTATGGGTATGTAGTATGCACTCATACATTTACTCCTGTAAAGCCGTAGGACCCACTATTGAGACATTCTCGAGAAATATTTTTTTTAATATTTCGAGAAAAATTTTTGTCCCGATAATACCATTACGGAAAAGCAATCTTCGAGCTAGTAGCGTAGCGTCCATGGTAAGACGTAGACACTACGCTCGGGGTTGCAGGTTAGATTCCCTGAATGATTTTTTTTTTTTTTATTTAAATCTTATATATTTTTAAATTTATATATAACACAATTTTAAACCGTTTTTAATTATTTTATACCAAATTTTTTAATAAGTCATTTGTATGTTAAATAAATATTTTTTTTAAATCAAGGAATTTAAAAATGCTCATTTATTATTAATTAAATTAAAATTTCTCATGCACACAAAAAATATATTTCCAATAAGAATTTACAACGACTGTTATACAATAAGTTAAAATGTACAATTTACTGTTTTACAATAAGTTTGCAGCTTTTAGGGTGATATTTATCATAAAAACATTTAAAACATAATAATTAATTAATAATGAGCATTTTTAAATTCCTTGATTAAAAAAAATATTTATTTAACATACAAATTACTTATTAAAAAATTTGATATAAAATAATTTAAAACGGCTTAAAATTGTGTTATATACAAATTTAAAAATATATAAGAGTAGGTGTAATAGGGGGGTTCTAAACCCGGGTCCTCTGAGGGGTGGTGCGGGGCGAGGGGAACTGAGGGCGCGGGGGCTGACGTCACGCGGGAGAGGGGGCTTACCGACATTTCTTTTTTACCGACATATTACCGGTATTTTTACCAACATATATATATTTTTACCAACATATTTATATTTACCAACATAT